TGTATCCTAGCAATTCCATCGGAACATGGAGTCGACATTGTTTTAAACGAATCATCAAACAGAAGAACGCCAACAATTGTCGGGTATCAAGAAGGACGCAGATCAGCAGGAGAATTTGCACAGCAACAGCATATGATGAATATCCATAATACCATTACACAGCTCAAACGCCTTGTTGGACTACCATATGACTCACAAGAACGTGAATCAATTAGTAATTCAGTACCATATAAAATTGTACCTTTAGAAGATGGGTTATCGGGAATTGAACTTGACAATGGAACAATATTACGAATTGAGCAAATTTTAGGTTACTATATTAAGAGTCTTTTAGAAATTATACAGAAGAAAAATCCAAAAATCCAACAAATTGTTTTAACAGTTCCTCCTTCATGGACAGAAATTCAACGTCGTTCAATCCTAAACGCAGCTACAATTTCAGATATCAAAATTGCAAGTTTACTTGATTCATCACTTGCATCTGCCATTGCATATGTTAAAATCCATGGAGATAGATTCCCCGAAGATAAAGAAAAAGGATTAAATGTTTTATTCATTGAATTTGGAGATACATCGATGAATGCTTCTATTGGAAAGCTTTCAAAAAGTTCTATTGAGATCAAAAGCACAATTAGTGACTCATCACTTGGAGGACAACAATTTACAGACATCCTTGAGAAATATTTGATTGAAAAAGTTTGTGAAAAATACAAGATTGATCCAAGAACAAATAAACGTTCTTTACTTCGATTTAAACAAGCTGTTGAAAAGACCAAGAAGACTTTATCATCCAATCCAATTGTCTTGTTTGAAGTTCCTTCTTTAATGAACGATATTGATGTTTCAATGACCGTTAAACGTGAAGAATTTAATGATCTTATTAAGGAACATATTTCTAAAATAAAGCCACAAATCGAAGAAGTAATTAAGAAAGCCGAAATAAGTAAGGAAGATATTTCATTTGTCGAAATAGTTGGAGGTTGTTCAAGAATTTCTTTAATTAAAAACGAAATCAAAGAAATTATCGGAAGTGATGCTAAAATGTCACTTGATCTTGATGAATGTTTTGCCATTGGAGCAGGATATATGGCTTCTAAAATTGATGGAAATGATATTGGAATTGAGATTATTAATAGCAAATGTCCATTCGAAATTACCACTAAGGCTGGCCAAGAATCAGAAGTTGTTAATGTTTTCACAGAATCATCGCAAATGCCATCAACAGCCAAAGTTACAATTCCAATAACTCAAAAGCAATCGCTATCATTCATGTGCAATAACCAACAAATTGGAATTGCTTCAATTGAAACTGGAATTGAAAATAAAGTTGATGTTGATCTTGAAGTTTCCATTGATTCATTCGGCCTTATTGATATTAAAGATGCAGTATACAAATTAAAGCCAGTTGAAGAAAACTTTGAGAATAAGGACGATAATAAAGAAGAAAATGCTGAAAACAAAGAAGAAATTTCCGAAAATAAAGAAGAATCCATAGAAATTAATGAAGAAAATGCTGAAATCAAGGAAGAAACTGAAGAAGAAGAAGAAGAAGAAAAAGTTGAAAATAATGAAGAAAACAGCAAAGCTGAAAACAAAGAAGAAAATAAAGAAATTGTTGAAATCAATGATGCTGAAAAAGCAGAAAAAGAAATTCCAGAAGAAGAGCCAAAACAAGAAAACTTCCAAGTTTTCGAATGTTCATCTTTCTCTTATTCGCCAGTCATGACATTGTCATCTGATGAAATTTCAGCCTTCCAAAAAGTTGAGAAAGAGCAAAGTTTGCAAGACAAACTTCAACTTGAAATAGACAATACAAAGAACGACCTCGAAAGCCTCATTTTTTCAACTGAAAATGAAATTAAAGCAATCAAAGAAGAAGAAGAAACAAAGGAAGAAGTCGAAAATATGAAAAAGAATCTTGAATTGATTCACAACTGGTTTGAAGAGAACGAATTCGAAAGATTGACTCTTGAAGAGTACAAATCAAAAATAAATGAAATAAATCAAATCAGGAAAGGAATTGAAGATCATAAAAAATATGAAGAAAAGAAGAAGCAACTTCTTGTTATCAAAGAAAAACTAAATTCTTCACTTGATGAAGTTAAAAAAGACACAGAGAGACTTCAATTGGAAGAAAGTATTTCATTACAAAAGGAAATTCCTAAAGAAATCGAAAAAGTTGACGAAGTAATGAAATTATCAAAAGAAGATGTTATTTCCATTGATTTGAGAGATCTAGAAAAAGAAGTTAATGAGGTTGAAAACAAAGTGAAAGCATTGAAACAAATCAAAATTGTCAAGAAACGAAGAGTTAAAAGGAGAGTCGATAACAATAGAATGAATCAACAAAGAAGATTAGCTGATACTTGGTCGCATTTCGGAAGAAATGGTTTCTTTGACGATTTTATGAGCGATCCTTGGTCGCCTCGTCGCCAAGTACAAAATATGGAAGATGAGTACGAGTATTCTTATGAATATGATGAAATAGACGATGAAAAAGATAAACGTACAAATAATAAGAATGCACAAAGAAAGCAATCTTCAGCTCAAAAGAACGCTTATGATCAAGAACAATTAAGAAGGCAAGAACAAGAAGAAAAGTTAAGAAGATATTATGAAATGGAAAACAGAAGGAGAATGCAAATGGAACAGGGAGAGCAATTAAGAAAGCAGCGTGAAATGGAAAATAGGAGAAGAGCTCAATTAGAACAAGAAGAAAAATTAAGAAGGCAATACGAATTAGATAATAGAAGAAGAGCTCAATTGGAACAAGAAGAGCAATTAAGGAGGCAATATGAAATGGAAAATAGAAGAAGAGCTCAATTAGAACAAGAAGAAATTTTAAGGAGACAGAAAGCTGCTCAAATTGAACAAGAAAAACTTCGAAGAGCTAAAGAAGCTGAAACGAGACGCCAAAGATCAATGAATGATCCTTGGGGTCAAGATGATGGTTGGAGATCTCCATCATATGGCTATCCTTTTGGTAATCGATCAAATCCGCAAAGACAAACTACTCGACCAAGGCAACAGCAGCGTAGAGTAATTCCAGGATATGGATATCCTTGGGGATTCTAAATTTTATATTTTAAAATATTTAATTGTTAAATAAAATGTTTTATTATTAATTACTTCTCTTGTTTTTATTATGTATGAATATCAAAAAAAGCTATTTAATAAAAATATAATACCTTTATTATTATGATATTGATAATTGAAAAAAATTTATACAACTAAAGTAAAAATAAGAATATCATAATGAAAAGATTTTGTTATTTGTGATTTGTGTTAGTTTGTTGATCTGATCAAAATCAAGTGTGCTCGTAATGCTTCATAAATATTGAACAAATGACATTTTTTAGTATTTTCTAACTAAATGTTGCTTGTGGAGTAACAAAAAAATAAGACTTTCTTTGGGGAATATTTGGAAATACTGATGTCTTTGCAGAAGTATAATTTGTATAAGAATTGGTTCCATTAATGTTTGCTTGAGAAATGTTATCAGTAAATGATTTACGCTTATCAGCTCCTTTGTTTGTTTGCATTTTGAACAAAGTGCAGCCAATCATTGGCTTGAAGTTACCTGTACGCTTGTCTCCACTAGAAAACCAAAAGTGACGCTGAGCTAATGATACTGAATAGTGAGTATTGCGATCGAGGAATTTTTGCAAGAGATTGTAGCAAGGATTGCTCATATTTGATGGTTTTAATACATTGCCACTATTCATTACAGTAACTAGATCATAGTGGTTTACAGCATTATAAGGAGCTTTTCCAGTTATCAAATAATACAGAAGCACGCCAAGAGACCAAATATCATCTGATGTTCCAAGAGTCGGATGTTTTAGTATAACATCAGGATGATCAAAGCAAGAGTACTCTGTTTTTGGATTGATTGAATATTCATTTATTGAGTTAGAAGCTGATCCAAAGTCAATAATTGTTATATTGTCTGAATTGTCTATTAAAATATTATCTAAATTAATATTTCGATGGGAAATTCCTTGATTATGAAGATGATTAATGGCTTCCAGAATTTGTTTCATTACTTTACGAGCTCTATCTTCTGGTAGTTTGTGTTCTTTGAACTTTAAAAAATTACTCAAATTATTGCCATGTATAAACTGTGTTGCAATTATATAATATTTAGCATCTTCAAATGTTTCTATAAAATCTGGAAAATATTGGTGATGAATTGTTGATTGAATTTCGATTTCTTTTTTCACTTGATTAACATCGAGAAAAGGGCTTTTAGGAATTACTTTTAGAGCGCATAAATCAGAAAAATTTTTGCTATTGCACTTATATACTTGAGCAAATTCTCTTGAAGATATGGGCTCAATGACTTTATAGGTTGCACTCGAAGATTTAAACTCCATTATATCGAAATTGATTTTTTTTATATAATTTTGTTTTCTGAAAAAAGCATAAAACGTAATATTTATCTATTATCTTGGTTATTAGCAGATAATTTTTGAAATATTTATATATTTAAATATTAAATATATAATTTAATTTAAATATTAATTAAATAATTATATATATATTTACTACATCGAAATTAAGCAGTTAAAAATAACTGTCCTATTCAAAAAATACGAATTAAAAATACACAATTTCTAAAAAAATAAAAAATTGTAATAAAAAAAAAAATTATTACCCTTTCAATATTTTTTGATCTAACATATTGTATCTTCGTTTCAAAAAAGATTATAATAATTTTCTGAAGAATATCCGCATAATTATATATTTTATTAGTTATATTTCAATTTTACTTTCAAAATTAATGAAAAGATTTAATAAGTTATATTTCAATTGGAACCTAATATATTATTCCAAAAACAAAAGTGATATAAAATGAAATTTAATGCAATGATATACCCGTTAAATAGGATTTAAACTTTTGGTTCAAGTAATTTAAATAGAAATAAAAAAGAGGTTATTAAATAATTATATTTAGTTATTATATTTTAATAATTTATTAAAAAAACGTTTTCAAGGAAGCTTTGGTAGCTCAGTCGGTAGAGCGTAGGTCTCATAATCCTAAGGTCGTGTGTTCGAGTCACGCCCAAAGCAAATTTTTTTTCGTAATTTTTTTTTTATTTTTTCGCTCTTTAAATGGCATATTCTTATTCAGCTCCAGACAAGGACTCTAACCATGCTAATTTTACTACCTTAACCCAAATTTTTGATTCTAATTTTCAAAATATCTCTACCAAGACATCCAATTTATCTACCTTATCCACAAATATGAATTCTATACCTACTAACTTTTTAGCGATAAAATTGAATCTTCAGTTTATATTAAAAATCCACAGAAAAATTTATCATCTTATTCTTTATCCAATAACGATTCTTACCATGATAATTTATCTACCTCTCCCCAAAATTTTAATTCTTTTCACCAAAATATCATCAACTATCCATCAAATCTCTCAACTTCAATCATAAATAGGCAATGTTCTTCCCCCATATCAATTTCAATAATCAACTAATTTCCAGTGAGATATTTGCTAAAACAAATTATGCAAAAGGTACATGGAATCCTAAATATTCAGACCTTGCTATCCAAGAAAAGCATACTTTTTTCATTTTTGATCCTCACAATAAACAAATAACATATTCTAATTATAACTTATCCCGTGATCTTTTAGTAAACCAAAACTTATCATTTACTGATAAAATTAGTAAATGATTAGTTGAAGATCCCTGTTCACAAGTTTCAGAAGAAGACGATGATTTTGTCAATCCAATTAACAGATCCTGCAACATTGATTCATTCATTGATGAAGGAAGTTATAAACTAACAGATTCAGAATTTTTAGATTCAAATTCTTCTTTTGATGAAATACAAAAACCAATTGGGATCTGTGACGATGAACAATCATCTCTAATTTATAAACCAGAACAGTCAGGTCAAGATCATACAAACCACAATCTCTTGGCAGATTTTGGGGAACACTTAAGTCTTGGCTAATTGAGGTCAGAAAGTTTCCACTTATTAGTGAATTCTTAGGTAAAGGAGAAATGTTTGAATGTAGCAAATGTGATTATATTTCTTCTAATTCACAAAATGTTAAAGATCACATTGCTCATAATCTCCCTAAAGGAGAACGAGAAATGGCAATTTCATTAGTCATGCTTAAATTTGAATTTGATGAATTTTATTCAGGGGAAGTAAACAGACAATTATGTTCAGATGATGAAGAGCAATTAGTTACTTCCAGTAATAATACAATCACTATTGAGAATGCTTCATCTATTGACACTAGTCGTTCGGATCAATTGATTGAATTATTCATTAATACACAAGATCTATTCTCTTCAGACAATCTGGCTATTTGCAAAAGAGATAGAATAACATTTTTTGATCTCCTCAAGTTGGCTTTGTCCTTTGATGATGAGCGCTTTTTGTACCTGATGTCAAAATTAAGAGATGTACCTGAATTTAATTCTGCTCACAAAGATAATAATAATCACATCCTTCCATCAATAGATGTTGCAGACTTACTTCGTTATGTTGAACCTTCAAATTGGCCTTCAATTAATAACCTTCTTTTCGGTCCAGTGTGCAAAATATCATATATAACCTTAACAGAATTATTTGAACACATCAACTGTCATAAAGATATTAATGCAGATCATATCATTTCCATTTTTTTTTTTTTTTTTTTTTTTTTTGAGAAAAAAAAATCTGCTTAAGCCATAATGAGAAACTTGCTGTACAAATTTCTTTTTTATTTTTCCCCTTACCTTTTCGATTTTTAAATGGCATATTCGTATTCTTCTCCCGACAAGGATTCTAACCATGCTAACTTTCACCAAAACTTTATTCTAATATTCAAAAAAACTCCACTCACGCCCCAAAGCATTTTTTTTTATTTTCTTCCCCTACCTTTTCAATCTTTAAATGACAAATTCGTATACAGCCCCCACAAGAATTCAAAACATGCTATTTTTTCTACCTTACCAACGACTTGAGTGTTCCCCAATACCTCCCCAAGTTTTCTATGGTACCATACCTTTTTCTGTGTGTGCAGATGTTACAGTCACGCTCAGATGCATAACCACATCCTGGTTTGTGGCAGCATGACATATGTTTTTTTGGTATTTTGTAATCACCATTCTTCAAGTCAACTGTGGTGATCACATCTCGATGAGCTAAATATGCAATCGTTTTATTCTGCTCATCCCTGTATCTGCCCACCAGAACCTTTTGAGAACTTGAACAATGTACTCTGACTTGTCCTTCTGTCTTACCCACATACGTACACTCATTTACGAAGCATGAATTAATAATGCACTTAGGTCAAACAATGCCTCCGTCAATGAGGTTAAATATGGATGATTCCATCGAAATAAATGAAGTCTATGCTAGAAGATCTCAAAAGAAGGCACAATCCACATCCAATTTCATTTATTTCGATGGAGGCATTGTCAGACCTAAGTACATCATTTTATATCATTAAATATAGTTTTATCGCATTCAATTTATTAAATTAAGAGAAAAAAATACTTTTAAAAAGATATATAACGATATTTATATTAATATATTTATATATTTAAAAAAAATATATGTGATATTTATTGATTATTTTTGGCCCACATTAAACCCATTTTGACCCACATTTTGGCCCATGATTTTTAAAAAAATATTATTTTGGGCATATTTGACCACCCTGGTATCAAATTTTAAAATGCATTCAAAAAATAAAAAATTTAAAAATTGACTTCGAAATGATGTATTTTATCAGATTTGGTTCGAAAAAAAGTATATAATATTTTTAATCTTCGTTATAATCTCCTTTCACTTTAGTTTTTTTTTTTTTTTTTTTTTTTTTCTGGCGGCTCTTTCGTCGATAATCGTTTTTTGCAGCTCGATACTCATCAGATCTTTTATTTAAAATTTCTTTTTCTCTTTCTGACTCATACTGAATTATATCATTCATTGATTCTTGTGGTACATATTTAGCAAGATCCAGTTCAACTAGTAAATTTAAAAAAAAGTGTGGCTCGTTATATAAGCAACATGCAATTAACGTCCGCACATTATATGAATTTGAGAAAAAAACTCTTTTTGGAGCGATCTTACCGATTAAATTGTTTAAGCTTTCGCAACATTGGGTTGTATTACAAAATTTACAATTCTTTATAAATTTTGAAGTTTTCTCAAAAAATTGCCCATTTTTTGAAAAGCTTCTGGATCTCTTTTTCCTCTCTCCCAATCAGAATGGCTTTCTTTCAAAGGTCCATGAGAATAGTTCAAATGATTTCCAATCATATGTTGTGGTGAATTAAGCCACATTAATTCTCTAATTTCAGAATCTTCGATATTTTTTAAAAGATAAACACCCCACGAAGCAATTCTGGATTCTTGTCCATCCAAAACGTTTGGAAATTCATCGTTATAATCTAATGAACTAGTGACTCTTGGGAAATTACGATTTAAATTCCGAATTCCATGTCTTGGCGCATATTTTTAATGTATAACCTCGATGCCAGAGCTGTTGGTGATGATTCATGTGTTGCTATCATAAATGATATAACAATGAATGAAATATAATTTATTGATATCATAAATGAAACGATTAACTGACCCAATCGATTACGAGCGAATTGAATTAATTTATTTTCAACCATTGAGTGTTCTGTTGAAACGAGATGATAAGACATTGAAAGAAGAGACAAAAATAAAAATGTTTACTGATGAAACGTTTAATATTGATGAGTATATAATAGATGAATGTAATGGTCGAACATATAGATTGATTTATAACCCAATCAAAAATAATGAATGATTTTTTTATTGATGTCTAAAATGACTGAAATTGATTTCACTAACTATAAACAAACACCTATTATTAAATCAATGACGAAATCGAAGTCTATTGAAAATCTACAATTGACAGACACTAAACCAAAAGCTGAAACCAAGCGAAGAAGAAAAAGCAAATATGCTAATGATGAAGAGAGAAAGGAAGCAAGGAGGAGACAACAGAAAGAATATCGTCAACGTAAAAAATATGAATTGATTGAAATGAAGAAACAAATTGAAGAACATAAATAAATTTATTTACTTATGATATCTCCAACGTTTGCATTAGTTGATGTTTTGATTTTGATTGTGATGAATAACGGACTCATTAGTTTAATTGGCTGATACATAAAATCAACGAATCACATTTCAAGATATTTTAATGAATCGCTATTAGTTTTTATTTTTATAGGCTTGGTCTGGTCATAGTTAACAATGAGTGGAGCTTGATTTAAAATCATAGAATCATATTTTTATTCTCTCGTTTTTGATATTTTGGTTTGAATTGTGTTGGTGGTAAATGTGTTTTTGATATTTTGGTTTGAATAGTTTATTGCGCTGTATTATTAAAAGAATAACATAAAAGTAATAATCTATACTATAGAAGTTTCCTATTCTTATAATGATCTCAAAAACTGAAAAAAAAAAACATAGTTGTAAGCAAAAAAATTTCATAATTTTTCTCTTTCTCACCAAAAAGAATCAAAAGGATGTAATATCGAATTTCAGTTCGATATTATATCAATTCAATGATTTTGATAATAAAAAACGATGAATTATCTAATGATTATAATATGATTATTTTTTCTTTAAAAATCGAATTTGAAAAAGTATCAATGAAATTTATTAATGAAATAAATATGTATATAAAATGCTGAAACATAAGAGATAAAAATTGTCTAAAAAAAACAAAATTTGAATATTTGTTTTGCTGTTCGTTTATAATTTTTGGACGTTTATCATTTAATGAAGATAAACCATTATCTTGTGCAAAACATATTATCTTATTGCATTATATCAATATATAAATATGTTTTAATAGTTTTTAACTAATTTTTAATTTGTAATTTCAGTAATCTGTTATGTTGTCGGGATAAAGTTAGCACAAAATTGAAAGATGATGAAAAAGTTCTCTCAATAAGTCTCAGAATGAAAATCAACTCTGACTTCTAATAAGTTAAATACATCTTTAAATGCAAATATGTTTTTATAAATATTATTTATAAATAACAGCATTTTATAGATAAATGAATCAATTCTT